AAAAAAAACAAGATACAGTATCAGTACAGCACTGTAAATTTACTCGAGTACACCCGATCACAGTATTATTTAACGTGCTTTCCTTTATAAAGTGGCTGCTGGTGCCAGCCAGCAGGTGCCAGCCAGCAGCACCTCGCAGTGCGAGGTGCTGCCAGCAGCCACTTTACGAGGCTCGCACCACCAGCAGCACCTCGCAGTGCTGGCACCAGCAGCCACTTTACGAGGCTCGCACCACCATCGTTCCACCACCATCGTTCATGCGTAAGGAGAGAAGGAAATAACACCTTTTGTAATGCGTGCTGAGGAGCGTTACAGTAGCAAACATATTCATTGTTAGGGAATGGTTATGATGCCGCATGAAATGCCATCTAACGGCCTCCTTTTGCATAATTTCGCACATTCCCACTTGCTCCACATACAGTATGTAAAATTATATCAAATTACATATGAGATGCCCCTGCACCAAGATGAAAAAAAAACACACATTTAGAGCAAGGCAACCAGTGCGCTAATTTATAGCGCACATTTTTAGCCATGCAGCGCTCTAAAGAGTGCGCAACACAACAAGTGCGTCGCCATATGTGACGGCCCGCAAGGGGCCGAGTATTAGTTTTTCCCAAGTTTTTCGCCAAGACAAGGGGTCTGAAGCACGGCGCATATAGCACTCGAAAGATGATTGGTTATAGTGATTATGAAATATCGATGAATTCTGAGTGATCGCGTGCTATATCCATTTCTATCCTGCGCCAGGAAAGAAACGAATATAGAGATAGGTGCTTCCAGATAGCAACCGAAAAAAGCGATTAGCGCACCAGTTGACATGCCAACAGGGGAAAATCTCTAAAATTTCAAAATTTAGCGCACTGCTTGCCTTGCTCTTACTGTCACCGCAACAACCACTGACGCGGCAATGGCATCAGCATAATTGATGCCCAAAATCCCAGGCCGCCGCCACCCCTACAGGAAAGCCCCTTGCTACGAGCCAGATGCGCCATCTTTTTTAAACATCTTCTTCACCTTTTCACATCGCTTTTGACATTCCAGCACTTTCCGGTGGTCCTCCAACGCCTTTTTCAAACCTTGATACGCTTGCAAAAAACTATCCCCTTTTTCCTTGTCATGAAGCCTCTCAATTGCAGCCTCCACTTTCCTCTTTGACAGCAGCGACGCCTTGGTCGGCACGTGAAAATCAATCCTTGTTTGCATCTGCTCGTGTTTCCCACCCGCTCTTTCCCTCGACCCCGATGCGGACGCAGCAGCCCGCCCATGAGCGCTCGACGCTTGCGCTGGAGCGATTTCTATCTCGCGACGAAACCGCCGCTGTAAACACGTTTGCCTGGTGAAGAACAAAGTTAGAGGCAAAAGTTAGTCGTCAGAGCAGCATGTTTTGATTCGCCCGCACAGCTCGGTATGAGCGGCCCCCGGAATCGTTTCGTGGTTGCCAAAACCGTTCATAAACAAAAACGAACCGATTGTGACCAATTTCCTTGCAATAACCGCATCGATAGAGACGCTGAGCCCCGACTTCACTCGGCCTTGGTGCTTCGTCGTTCAAAAACTGCTCGATAAAGTCGAGTGTTTCCTGTATCGATTTTTCGTTAAACCAGTCCGCCTCCTCGTTCATTATCGCTTTGAGAGCGATGTTATTAGCGCGGACATGTTTGCAGGGCACACCTTAAACAGAGAGTGAGCTTCTGCTTCAATAACTTGCAGCAAGACTTTGTAAACATCTGCTCCAGTAAGCTTTTTGACAGCGATTCGTCTATTTGTGGACGTCCGCTAAGCAGCAGACGCCGGATGAGGATCTTGTCGGCTCATCGTATAGACGGAGGGCTTGATCCAGGTGGTTAAAATATGTACATCCTTCGCTGACAAGGCATCACATCTAGTACTATACGGGGGGGGGGGGGGGGGGGGGGGGGGGGGGGCACCCCCAAAAGGAAAAAAAAACAAGGGGGGGGGGGGGGCGGTTTTTGGGGGAAAAAAAAATGCCCCC